GGGGCCGGGTGGAGCGGGGTGCAGCGGGTGGCAGGAAGCGGGGCCGAGACGCAGTGAAGCGGGGAGGAGAAGTAGGCTGGCGCGGACACTGCTGGGCGGTGCAGGACGAAGAGACCTCGAGAAGTGGTCGCGAGGTCTCCCGAGGCTAATGCATGCTAGGCGGGATAATGCACGTTTCAAACTTCGTTTACTTCTTTGTCGATAGTCTATTACTTATTAACTATTTCCGTACACAAATTTGTTTATATGTGTTGCTTTTAGAGTCTGTACGTCTATTGTGTATTTGCGTCTGTGTGTGTTCTGTGTCCCTGTAAATGTTTGTTTCCGGTTGTAGGTATTGTTGGTGTACGTTAAATGTTTCAAACTGAATGTATCAAATCGAGTTTGTTTCCGCAAATCAGTATTGTCCGTATTGCTAGTTTCATTCAGTGTTTCAAGTGTAAAGAAAGTCATTCAGTGAATTTTGTTCCTTTAGTAATCGAACATAAGATGATCAGACATTTTTGAGCACAAAAGTTTAAAGAAAGCACCATTCTGATTGCATGTGGATACAGGAATCTCACAAACCCTGCTTTGTACGTTATGTAGAAATAAGTTGTTTCAAAGGTTAGCTTGCCCATTCCTTTCACTGAAAAACAATGTATGATGCAAGAAATTGTGATATGTGAGTGAATATTAAAGAAAATCAGTTGTTCAGTGAATCGTCGACGAAACTCTTCTTTCGCACCTTATTGATTCATACACAGCGTAGAAAAGCAAAATGATGATACAAAACTCTTACTTCACGCTTGAACACTTGAAGCTACCAACAGAAAACTAATCCAATATATTACAGATATGGAAGATAGATTCTGGACAATGTTACATTTTGTTGCATAGATATGTATTCGTCTTCAATTTCCAGATGCTACCTACTTTTGAAGAAAATCTTTGAGCTTTGTACATCCTGGCTGTATATGTTTCGAACAGATTAAGAAGAGCTTCAGAGATTAAGAAGTCTTTCGTATATATCTATTTTCAGTACATGCAATTAAAAGATATGAGTGTGTTTGAAATGAGCAGACTAATAAACATTCAGCTGTTAGTTGATAGATTGATTGTACAGTTTATTACTTACGGTTTTGCATAATATCCCCTACGTTCTTGATGTTTCTAGCTGTATTTCATTTGCTTATTTGCTTTCATGGCAGTATAATGTCAAGCTTGATAAGAAGTCAAAAATGCAATGATGTAGTTGAAAAAATGTCTGCGAGAAGGAAAGCTGCAGCTACGAATGGTGATAAACGAAATTGGAGAGGCAGAAGGGATCCGTTCCTGGGAGGGAGGATGGTGGCTAAGCCGTTGTGCTCTTGCCAACGGAAATTTTCTCGCTTTGGCTACGTGTGACGGGGACGAAACAGCAGAGAACAAGCAAATTACCCGCTTCTGAGGGTCAGGGCCTCAACTGATGTCACTGCAACACCTCTGACCGGGAGGTCCTCGGTTTCGAGCCCCGACAGTGACAAGATTTTTGACACTAGCTACACAGCTAGGTCGAATTCAACCTGTCTGGCGGAAAATTCTATAGATCGACTGATCTGATAAGTGGTTTCCTTCCTTGTCCTATCTTCACCACTTACTTACAGTTACATGCACTGCACTACCAGACATATCGGGAGCCCAGCTTGGAGCTTAGAGCTTATCCTTGCTGAGGTGGTGCCCTGCTGGTGAGAGATACCGGGGTGGGAAAATCCCAACAAGCCGACGTGAAGGTTGGCGCTGGGTCTCACCATACAGTGGGGGAAGATCACTGCCAACTCTAGTGATAAAACATTTCCTATACTTACGAGATCAATCACTACATGCAAATTTATTTTCTGTATTATTTATTTTTGTCTGTAATGAAGTTGGAACGTGTTGAACAAAAATAATTTTCTCTCGCATAACCTTGACTTTTAATAGTCGGATTTGAGATTCGTGCGAATTTTACTGTTTGTTGGTCGTTCAGAGTTTACAGAGTTTTAGAGGCGCCATGACGGCGTGAGGCGTCCCCTTTTTCCGTCAACTGTCCTATCCATCCCCCCTTCCCACTTCTACCGGGTGGCCTGGCGGAAAGCAACGAGCGAGCGGATCTAGGAAGACCTGGAAGTACACGTGAATGGGGACAGCGACTGAGGACGAGGGAGGGCAAGGTGCGAAGATAAAAATGGCAAGAACGAGGGAGAAGGTGATGCCGTGAAAGGGAGTAAAAATAAAAGGTAAAGCGTAATGAAGGGAAAGAAGGACGGGTATCAAAAAGAAACATGGACATTGAAACCATTGCAATTAGTTGAGTGAGTCAGAAGGAATGCTGGGAAGAGGCAGCTAAAACGATTGATATGTTATCGATAATGCATATAAGCACAGTAAAAGAAAATCGTTAAGGTTTCTAGAGCACAAAAAACGAGCATAATGTGCGTTTGCTTCCACAACACACTTTTTTTCACTTTTTTGTCGTTAAATAAATACGTACGGACTCTTGTTCAAACTAGGTATAAAATCCCAAGTTCTATTAAAAATGTTTACTTGAGACATAGATTGTTTGTATCTTAAGCGTGTATTATTCAGGCTGTTTAATCTGACAGTTCAGTTGTGCGCAGTAGTATAATACAGAGTCTGAACCAAATATTATATTCTAGGTAAAATTATACAGCTTATATCACTTCCATACTAAAAATAATTCGTTTGTGTTTTCAGATCATACGAATTCATTGTTTGATTCATACGTTGAGGTAGTATCGTACAAGGCCGGGAAGAAACTCTCACCAACTCAACAGTGAAAAACACATCTCATTGGTTTACACTGCGTGGAAAGATATCGGATAAAATCCGAAGGAAAGGAACTGAAAGACGGTGTGGTAAAATTGGAGAAGATGCGCAGGAGAATGGTAGTAAAGAACCAGGCTTTGCGTAAGAGAGACGCGCTTGCAGGACGGAGATCTGAGCAGTAGGACGGTGACGGGAGGCCTCGTGGAGACAAATAAAGCAGGACGGGAGGTCGCGAGGAGGGAGCCGGCGCGGACGAAC